CCTCCCTGTGAGGGTGCTGAGGCGCTGGCACAGGGTGCCCAGAGAAGCTGTGGCTGCCCCATCCCTGGCAGTGCTCAAGGCCAGGTTGGACACAGGGGCTTGGAGCAAGCTGCTCCAGTGGAAGGGGTCCCTGCCCGGGGCAGGGGTTGGAGCTGGAGGAGCTTTGAGGTCCCTTCAACCCAACCCATTCCCTGAGTCTATGGAACACATCCCAGGGCCTGGCTCCGCAGGGAGCACGCATGGATGGATGTAATGGGGGGGTCCGAGCCACCTCTCGGTGTTTCAGCCGTGGGGAGGCCGCTGCCCTTTTTAGCAGCATCCAGCTCTTTTTCCTCTGCTCCCGCTATTCCCTTTACAACCAGCCCATTGTTGGGGGCTGCAGGGCTGGGTGGAGTGTTTCAGGCTCAAGTGTAATTTCAGCGCCTCTAAAAGCCTTTGGAGGGCTCTTCCCCCCTCGCCAAGAGGACAGCAGCGCCAGCAAGGGCTAATGGGATAGATTTACTCTGCGGGCTCTCCCTAATCCCCTTTGTGGGCCCGTTGGAGTGGACGCGGTGCAGGAGCCCCCGGGCTCGGGCAGAGAAAAGGCAGCTCAGCGGGGGGGGTTACACACTGCCACGTAAATACAGACCCTGGCCATGGGGATGGAATCTGTGCCCAGGAGCTCGCTGCAGAGGGGGGCACTGCGGGGGTTTCCCCCTTTCCACTTCAATTTACATTTGTATTCTTCTGCTAAAGCTAAGAGCAGGAGGAGGCGGGGGAAGAGGGTGGCTCAGCCCAAGCACCGGGCGGTGGGCTCAAGGCTTGACCAGCCCGAATGCCACGGTGACGGGCTCAAGCCCAAATGAGCTCAAGTGAAAAGCAGGACCAGATCGTGTCTCACCTCCCCTCCTGCTCCAAAGCAGGGGCTCCTCTCATGAATGAAGGCAGAAGCCTGGGGCGTGCAGGAGCCAAGCAGAGCTCTGCTGGAGAGGCAGCCAAGCCTGTACGGAGCTGTTCGTAGCAGACCTGATGCTGGCACAGGAAAGGGTGACCAGAAGTGAGGCCCTTGAGAGCAGAAGCTGCAAGTGCTGCTGCCTTGGTTGCGTTGTGTGTGGTTGGGAGTGTGTGAGGCTTCTGTTTGCTTTGGGGATCTTGTGCCAGTCCTGAGGAGGTGAAACACTGCGAGACCGCCCCTTCGCGTGGCAGCCACGAGCAGCCCCGTTCAGAGACTCGGGGAATGGGTTGGGTTGAAGCGACCTTAAAGCTCCTCCAGCCCCAACCCCTGCCACGGGCAGGGACCCCTTCCACTGGAGCAGCTTGCTCCAAGCCCTGTGTCCAACCTGGCCTTGAGCACTGCCAGGGATGGGGCAGCCACAGCTTCTCTGGGCACCCTGTGCCAGCGCCTCAGCACCCTCACAGGGAAGAGCTTCTGCCTAAGAGCTCATCTCAGTCTCCCCTCTGGCAGGTTAAAGCCATTCCCCTTGGCAGCAAAGACAGAGACAGATTCCTGTTTGTGCCCCCAAGGTGAGGAGCAGGGGGCTAGAGCTGCCCCCTCTTTGCTGCTGGTCAATCAGGCTGACACCAGAGCTAAGGCAGCCAAAAACCACAGAAAACTCTCAACAGCCTCTTGCCCTCACAGCTACACCTTTACCTGAAGGAACCTGGAACTAACGCTTCCCAAAGCTTGTGCAGATGGGAACCAGCTCTCTTGGGCTTGGGAACGAGCCCTGCTCATGGTGATGACTGCTCAGCCTCCAAGGCTGATGGTGGCATTGAAGGTGCTGCAGCGAAACATTGCAGCGTGGCAGGAAAGAACCCACCCCTGGTCCTGCCCAAGTCAACTGCATCCCTTTGAACCAGACTGGGTCTTCCTTGTTCCCATCCAGGGCATTTCCACCCGCTGCTGCTGTTCTTCCCCTAAGCCGAGCTCGTAGAATGGAGCTCAAAGGAAGTGCGGAGTTAATTCAGAGGGACTCAAGCGCCCTTCTCCCACCCCTGCTTAATGAGCACTCCCCTCTCCCCACACTGGGAATGGGGTCAAGGAGATTTGGGAAGGGAGGGGGAAGGGGAGAGGGTCAGGAGAGGTCAGGTGAGGGCTCCATTTCATCCCGCCGGGCCTGCCAGAGCTATTCTCCATGGTGTATTTCCCATTCAGCTGCAGTGAATGGGCACTGATAGCTGTGAAAGGATCTGGCACTGGATGAACAGCCCTTCCCTAAGCGCTTGCTCTTGTGCTCTCTCCCACCCTTTCTTCCAAAGGGCTTCCAGGGAGCAGGGGATTAATAACACTCAGAAAGAGCCCCTTGCAAGGTTGGAAATGGACCGTTGTGGTTATGAATGGAAAGCCAAAGGCTGGCAATACCCTTGGCCCTCCCTTCCCTCTGCTGCCCGAGGGGGAATAGGCTTCTGCACCCAGCCTGTGGTGACGTGGGTCTGTATCACCTGGGAAGCGCTGGGCTGGAGCCCTCCACATCCCCACCATCTCCTGCACTGCCCAGGACCAGCTCCTTCAAAAAGCCAAGGCTTTTCCTTTATTTGCTAAGGAAAAGGCTTTTGTGGGGTCATTTCTTCCTCGTAAGACAGGGCTCAGGTTATTGCAGAGCCCTGACAGGTCACAGATAGCTGATGAATCCAGTCCTCTGCTGGATGTGATCATTACTGTGGCTGTTTGAACCATGGGGTAGGTGCACAACTGTCATACATCAGAAGGGCTGCTACCATGTTTATAACACCTCCTGTCCCTTCTGCATCCACGTGAGAGACTGGAAGGATTATGGAGTATCAGGATATGGATTCCTCTGAGGAACAAATGAGGTTTTCTCTGCCACGTCCCTCAGTCTTCAGTCTAAGCACTGTCTGGAGGTGGTTACTTGTAAGATCCATTGGAAAGATGGGAGGGAGGAGGCGAGACTGCTTCCAGCCATGCTTGTGCACATCCATCAGTGCACATAGTCCTCTTTCTGCAGGGATTTAGCGTTGGTTTCTTCTGGAAGTGAAAGATGAGCCCCAGGGTCTGCTCACGGGGGTGCTCAGAGCCACGTCTGCACCGGCGGGAGGGAGACGGGAGGTGAGCTTGTGCCGGTGCTGCTGTGTGTGAGCGAGGCCGTCCCGCTGACACCTCCAGGACGCTCCGCGCTGGCTCCAGTGCGTGGCTGTGCCCTCGCTGCTGCTCTTCTCATGTGCACATCCTGGGGTTCCTCATGTGGAGCCCGCTGCGCCCCGGCCCTGCAGGGAGACGTTTGTCACAGCTGCCTCTGCAGCGTGCGAGCAGGGGAAACGCGTGACTCCGGCCTGGGGCTGCTCTGCCTTTTGAGGAACGGGCTCTGGAAGCGCCAGTCCCTGGTTTCACCCCTACCCCTTCTTGCTCCCTGGCAGCGCTGCGGGGTGAGCTGTGCTCTGCAGGGGCACGCTGCCTGCTTCCTCCTGCCCTCCCGGCTGCCGCAGTGGGCGAGAGCGGAGGAGCGGGACGTGCCGGGGCTGCAGGAGGTGCGGGGCTTTCTGCTGTGGCTGCCCTTGCTGGAGAGGCTCCTGTGTGCAGGTGGGGGGCAGAGCCCTCTCCTCTGGTCTCCTCTCTGCCTTTGTCCGCATCCTGCTGCTTTGCTCCTGCCCCAGGACCCGCCTCCTACCTGCTGCCAGCTGAACCAACCTCTCGGCGTTGATCTGTTGTTTCTCTGCAGAGGAAGGGCAGGAAAAGGTTGGTTTTCACGTTTCAAACCGAGGTGTTTAAAGATGCTTTACCTTCCCTCGGGACGGAGAGAGGAAGAGCAGGGGAAGGCATCATCAGCTCAGCAGCAGGCGATGTCCCTGTGGCACGACAGCTCGGGGAGCAGCTGTGAAGGAGCCCCCCATGTGGCTCCCTTCTGCTCTGCGTGCAGGAGCCCTTCACAGGAGGGCTCTGTGTCCCTTTGGGGGAGGATCCGAGGCAAGGGGCTTGGCACTGTGCTCTGTGTTGTCCCTAGTGTAGAAGCTGGGGGAAACTGAGGCCGGGGGAAGTTCTTGTCCCGCAGCTTTTGGACCTGTCTGACTGTGAAAGGGCCTCCCCATCACAAGATGCCAAATCCCACCGGGCTGTTGGCAGCTCCCTTGTGTGTGAGGTGTAAATGCTGCTGTTAGACCAGGAGCCCCCTAGGACGCGGTGACTGACTCCTTCCGCATCCAAAGCTCATATTGCTCCAGAACCAAACCAGCCCAGAGCCTGCCAGGGGAGCCTTGGAAGAGAGGGGCGGTTTAAACGAAGTCTTTGGGCTGGCTGCCGGGGCTCTTAGAGGCAAAGCTGCAGGGAACGTCGCATCTTTAACCAGCAAGCACCGGCCCGTGCCCTACCCCGGCCCGCGCAGCCCCAGCCCCTCAGCGAGCTGCTGCCGGGGCCGCGCTCCGGCACAGCGACATCGCCGCGCTGGTGCCTGTGTTTGCCCAGCGCAGGCGGGGCCGCGGTGCTGCTCACACCCCACCAGGGAGGGCCCTGGAACCAAACCCTGCGTGTACCTGCCGCGGCTTCCAGCTCTGCGCCCGACCGCTTCAGCTGCTTCTCCCGAGGGCTGCGGGACCCGGGGGAGCAGCTCGGGGAGCCGGGGACCACCTCTGACCGCGCTGCCTGCAGGAGGTGAGTCCCGGCTTCTGCCTTCCTCTCTGCAGCGCCTCCCGAGCCTTCCCCTCCCATCCCTCTGCCCCCGTCCTCCCTGGCCTGCCCTGGTGTTTCTGCCCAGCCGAGCCAATGCATCTCCTGCGTGCTGGGAACAAAGTGAAAAGCGAGGCGTTGATGGGGATTGGCACCAAATGCAGTTTAAACAGGAAAGGGCTCACCTGGAGCTGCAGTTTGGTTGCTGGTGGCAGCTTCTCCTCTCTGACTGTGCGTGAGTATTGCTTCTGGATCATAGGGATTTCTTTGGTCCTTAAAGCCCTGTGAGGGTGTGGAGGTGGAAGAGACAGGTCTTGTCTTCCCTACTGATAAATCTTCTCTGTGTGTGTAAGACATCTATCGAGTGTTTGGAGTTTACCTTGGGATAAGGAGGGATAAGCCCCCTCAAGCCTGGACTGCAGCAGTCAGTGGACATTACACCTCCCTCGCAGGTCTATCTTAGAGCGATGGTGACTCGGTTCATTCTGGCTTGGGAGTCTGCTCCCTTTAGCCAGCAGCACCAAGGCTTGTGCTGCTGGAGCTTGAATTTCCATCCCAGGGCTGTCAGCCGGCTGGGGACCCATCACCCGTGAGCAGGGCTGAGCATCCTGTGTGTGGCCCACATCTGAGGACGGTGCTTGCTGTCCCCAGCCCTTGCAGATAGAGCGCATCTGAAGTAAGGCTGAGCATGTCTGGGGCCTCCAAGCGCGCCTTTGAAGCCATGTCTGGTGATGAAAGGAAAGCTGTTCTGTTCCCACCTGCCTTCCCTTGCTGTTTGACCTTGGGCAAGTCACTTGAATGTTCACACTTGTTAAAAGGAGGTATCTGTTGTGCCAGTTGGGGTCTAAGCTGTTGGGAGGGGGCGACCTGAGAGATAGGAAGGAAAATCATCAGTCCTTTTTGCGTGTCATTGGCAGCCCGTCAGCTCCTGAGCTCAGGAGGTGCCTCCCCTCTGCAGCAGCAAGAGGCAGGGAGTGATGCTTGCACCTCAGTGGGAACCTCATCACCACACATCCTCACCCACTCATCTCCATGGGGCTTATTTGAAGAGGGGAAGGAAAAGACTGCAGAAGCTGTCCCAGCTGTACCTGTCTGCTCACTTGTGCCGTGATGGCATCAAATGCATCTGTGAGGTTAGGGAGTGCTCACTGGCACCGCGTTTGGTGTTCACATGGGGTTTTCTCTCTGCCCAGTGTAGCTGTGGCACGGCTGTGGTCCAGCGCCGCTGGTTCAGCCACTGCTGAGGAGGAAGGGGAGTGCTGGGGATGTTCCCTGTTCCCATTCCTCTCCCCTGTAATGAAAGCAAAGAACTTGGAGGGGCACCAGGCTGCACAACTGGATTCTCACCTCTTTTCCATCTGCGTTCAGCCTCCTCGACGCAAAGCACCGGGGAGGCACAGGAGGCTGAGGCTTCTGTGCAAAGTGGGATCGTGAATCCTGAGAACTAGGCAGCAGTTTGGTTTACTGTTGAATCAGTGGCTGTGAAGGAGCTTCATGTCTTGCTAAGGCACCCTCCCTTCCCTAGCATAGCCACACACCAGTAGGTGCTTTTAGCAAGACAGCCCTTGGGTGGACTAGCTGCTGGGGCTGACATCATGGCAGGGTCCTAGCAGGTTACAAAGAGGCATCTGCTTACTCTTGCTAAGGCTGCTTGGCCCCTGCCCTGCTCTGGTGGCCTCTCCCCTCTGCAGAAGGCTGGAAAGAAGGAGCATGTTACAGGGCAAGTAAATGACTCAGCCTAATGAGTAAGGTAATTGCTGTTCACTGTTAGATGAGGCTAAAGTGGGTCAGGTTTGTTTGTGAAACTCCATGGAGGCACCATCTGTTCCCTGTGCCCTGTCTCGGGCTGGAGATGGGATTTGGGTGAAACTGCTCCCCTGGGAGCCCGCGGAGCAGTGCGGGTGATGCCCTGTCATTAGGCAGTGGGGTGGGTCCCCGGGGATGACCCTGTGTGACTGCAGCCCTGAGCCTTGAAGGGGCTTCTAATTGATTTCACTGGGAGAGGGGACCCTAAGTCCTTTGTTTGTCTGCTCCAACTGCCCCTCTCTGAGATGAGGCTGGACATCAGCCCTCCCTTAGCCCAAAGGCAGAGTTGCATTTCCCCAAACCATGGCTGACACTTGACACAAGCCCTTGGAGAGGAGCCCAGCACCGATGTGGTTGTGTCTCAATCCTGCTGCTCTCGCAGATGTCCTCTCATCACCCTCCTGTGTGACTGCCCCTTTCAGCCATGACGTGTCTCTGCGGTGCTTGGGTTTAGCGCTTTCCCCTGCCCTGGACCCCGCTGTGTCTAAGCTCTCTCTCCTTACAGACCACAGCATGTGAGCAGAAGGGGAAGCCTGGAGTGGGATCCGTGCCTGCCCACGCCTGGACTCAGCATCGCTGGGGCCGCATCTTGCACAAAGAGGAAGAGGAAAAGACACTTCAGTCCCCCTTGCTAAAGATGGGGGGCAGCATCTGTGCAACAGAGCAGGCAGGGAAGCTCCAGACCTGGCCTGTGGGGCATCCCTGGCTGTGCCGCAGCCGGAGCACAGCAGCTCGCTGGCACTAGGGCTGTGGGCCGGCTCGGGGCAGGCAGCCGGGGCCAGCTCGGGGCAGGCAGCCGGGGCCAGCATGCTCTTCCACAACAGCAAGACCCAGCTTCTGCTGGTGAACTCCCTGACGTTCGGCCTGGAGGTCTGCCTGGCTGCAGGGATAACCTACGTGCCTCCGCTGCTGCTGGAAGTGGGAGTGGAGGAGAAGTTCATGACCATGGTTTTGGGTAGGCAGCTTTTCTCTCACCTTTGACGTGCTTGTTTTCCCTTTGGGTCTGGAGGGCAAATAAAGGCGTGAGGGCTTGTCTCTGAGGGCACAGCAGAGGGCAGCCTGTTTCTGGAGGAGGGGGCTGTGTCCCAGGGAAGCATGCTGAGTTCCCGAAATGCCTGGGCTATTTCTCTGCGGTGCAAACAGAGCAGTGTGCTCCAGACGTTAACATCACCTCTTCTTCTCCAGGGATAGGACCTGTCCTTGGCTTGGTTTTTGTCCCGCTGATAGGATCCGCCAGTGACCACTGGCACAGCAGCTACGGCCGGAGGAGACCTTTCATCTGGATGCTCTGCCTGGGAGTCCTGCTCAGCCTCTTCGTTATCCCACACGCCAGCAGCCTGGCCAGCCTGTTTGCCCTCAACCCTCGTCCTCTGGAGATTGCCTTCCTCATCCTGGGCATCGGCTTACTGGACTTCTGTGGCCAGGTCTGCTTCACCCCCCTGGAGGCTCTGCTCTCAGACCTCTTCCAGGAGCCAGACAACTGCCGCCAGGCCTTCTCCATGTATGCCTTCATGATTAGCCTGGGGGGCTGCATTGGCTACCTGCTTCCAGCCATAGACTGGGGGGGCAGCTTTCTGGCCCCGTACCTGGGAGGGCAGGAGACCTGCCTCTTCACCCTCCTTGCCATCATCTTCCTCGGCTGTGTGCTGGCCACGCTCTTTGTGACAGAGGAGGCAGCCACCCAGGCAGATGCTCTGGATGGCCCGGCACTGAAGGATGCTCCCCCTAAGCCCTCACCCCCTGCCTGCTGCTCTTGCCACGTCTCCAGGAGCTCGTGTCTCCTGCAGGCCAGGCACACGATGCAGGCGCTGAGGAACCTCTGCACGCTGGTGCCGCGGCTTCACAGCCTCTACTGCCGCATCCCCAAGGTCATCCGGCGCCTGTTCGTGGCCGAGCTCTGCAGCTGGATGGCACTCATGACTTTCATGCTGTTCTACACAGACTTTGTTGGGGAAGGGCTGTACCACGGTGTCCCCAGGGCCAAGCCAGGCACGGATGCCAGGCGCCACTACGATGAAGGTGAGAAGTGAAGCAGCTGCTCCGAGGCTGCAGCATCGGTTCCCTGGGACAGGAGGGGTCATTGGGAGCTGGGGTGGGCTCAGCTCTGCTCGTAATGCACAACAACCTTGCAGAAGTTCTGCTGTGAGATTCCCATCTCACGTCGCTCTCTGGGGAGCCCTCAGGCAGCTTCCCCACTTCTCACCCCCTTCTCCAGTGCTTTCTGATAGTGCTCACCACTGGAGTCTGTAGCTGCCACGTCTGCATCATGGGATACTCACTGCAGCACGTTACCTGCCTGCTCCTGTTGCCTGCTGTCCCGTGTTGGCTGCTGTGTGCTGCCAGAGCCTTGACTGGCTCCTGGCCCTTCTCCTCTCCCTGATCTAAGTCTTTTATTCTTGGAGGCACCTTCCTGGCCCTCTTCCTCCTCCAGCTGTACATCTTGCCCTCTGGTTTTTCCACTCGCTGCCTCTGTGAGCTCTGCAGTACACTGCCTCTTTGTGCTGAGTGTCTGTTTAACTTAGAGGCAGCTTAATTATTATTTAACACTTGCACTGTACAGCTCCCAGCAGGTCAGGGCTCCATTGTGCTGGCTGTCACAGGAACATATGTTGAGTAATGATCCTTGCTCCAAAGAGTTAATGGTTTTAATTCCCTGAAATCTGATAGAGCTTTGCAAAGGGTAAGGTCCAGATTGCTACCGGATGCTGCACTCATTCAGTGCATGTTATATACTTTACCTTGGCTTAAGCACAACTCCTTGTTCCTTTCATTCTGTTGCTGGTTTTGGCATCAGATAACAACAGATCCTGGTTCATGGGCAGGTGACAGATGCTGGCTTAAGAGTAGGAAGGTGCAAACAGCTTCCAAAGACAAGGACGCCGTTTGGATTCCTATGTCCCGTTGCCCCTCTGGTTCGACTGGGGTGCCCGGGAGCATGTGTGGGAAATCCTTGCTGCTGGCGGAGGGTGGGAGCTGCAGCGTGGCTGCTGCAAGGCAGGGATGCGCTGGTGAAGCCTGGGGGCACTCTCACCACCTCCGCTTCCCTGCAGGGGTCCGCATGGGCAGCTTGGGCCTCTTCCTGCAGTGCATCACATCCATCTTCTTCTCGACAATCATGGACCGGATGGTGACGCGCTTCGGGGCGCGCGCCGTGTACCTGAGCAGCGTGGTGCTCTTCCCCGGCGCTGCCGCCGTCATGTGCCTCTCACAGAGCATCACCGTGGTCACCATCTCGGCTGCTCTGACAGGCTTCACCTTCTCTGCCCTCCAGATCCTGCCCTACACGCTGGCATCGCTGTACCACCACGAGAAACAGGTAGGGATCAGCTGCAGAGGGCAGGGTGCCGCCAGGACAGCCTGGCCAGCCTCTTGGAGCCGGTCCAGTCAGTTCAGTGCATGGGAGAGAAACACATGCCTGTGTGCAAAGGTTTTCCACATGGGCCTCTTGTCTCCAGGCTGTCTTCTCTGGAGATTCATCTGGAATGGAGCTGATGAGAGTTTGGCATCTCCTTCCTCAGGCATCCCCTGCTCACAGCAGGCACTGTGCAGGTTTAAAAAGCGGGGAGTGGGCAAGACGGAAGAAGCGAGCTGGGGTTGGTGTATCAAAAGGGATGTCTTGTGTTCCTGTGTCCTGCGTGTTGTTAGGGAAAGTGGTGCAGGTTAGTTCCAGCTGTGCGCATTCTGCAGCCAAGTCACATCTGCAGCTCCGAGATGTGCTAAAATCCTCGGGTTTCTCCCTTTGAGGCCTTGCTTTGCAGCTGTTGTCCCTATCATGAAGATCAGTACCATGAAAACTGAGGTTCTTCCTATTCCCCTCACTCCAAGAGAAATAAAGGGGGTGAAACTTCGGACACCAAGTGCAGTGAGACGTGGGGTATAGCTGGGTTTGGTTTCTTTTGCCCTGCCTTGGAAGTTCCTCCTTCCTTCCCCGAGCACTTTGCAGCAGGCTGCAGGGAGACCCCAGAGAGGTAGATCCTAAAGTGCCCTTGGATTCCCCATCTGCCCCATTTCTGTCCTCCTCTTTTCTCTCCCTGTTCAAACCTCTCCTCCCTCCTGCTTGCCTCCCCTCATTCCCTCCTCCCTGCTCCCTCTCTTCCCTCCCCTTTTTTACTTTGTTTTCTCCCGTCTTTCACCCCTGCTCCTGAAGTGAAGCAGCAGAAGGGGGCACCCGCAGTGGCTGCTGCTGCCCCCCCCGTGCGGCAGCCTCAGGGCCACCTCTGCTGGAGCTCCGTGCTCTGCACAGCCTGCGTAAGTCACTCTTCTCCTGCATGGCCTCTCCTTAGCGTGGCCACTGAGCCTCATCCAGGGCAGGAGGACGCACTGAAGCCTTGCTGGAGGCGCCTGCTGGCGTTCCCCCCTTGTGCAGGAGGTTGGGCACCGCTGCGCTCCTCGCTCCCAGCACTGCCCAGCAGCTCCGGGGGAGACCCCTGAGTCCCCACTTGCAGCACTGTGGCAGTTCTGGTGTCCCCCACATAAAACGGACATGGAGCTGCTGGAGCAAGGCCAGAGGAGGCCACGAGGATGAGCAGGGGCTGGAGCAGCTCCCGTACGGAGCCAGGCTGAGAACATTGGGGTGTCCAGCCTGGGGAAGAGAAGCTGCGTGGAGACCTCAGAGCAGCTCCCAGTGTCTGAAGGGGGCTACAGGGATGCTGGAGAGGGACTCTTCATTAGGGACTGTAATGACAGGACAAGGGGTGATGGGTTCAGACTGAAACAGGGCAAGTTCAGGTTGGAGATAAAGTTCTTCCTTGAGGGTGCTGAGGCACTGGAATGGGTCCCCCAGAGACATGGTAAATGTCCATCCCTGGCAGTGTTCAAGGCCAGGTTGGACATGGTCTCATGTGGGGTGCCCCTGCCCATGGCAGGGGAGTGGAACTGCATGATCTTCGGGTCCTTTCCAACCCAACCCATTCCATGATTCCCTGAGATGAAGCTGTTGATTGAGGCTCCTGTGCTCGTATCCTGCTGCAAGGGGTGATTTTAAAGCAGAAGTTCCCACTAAGCTCATTCCTGTGAGTATGGATTGCTCTGGATTTAGGTTAATTCTCCGCACTGGCTATTCACCCCCCTGCCAGAACATGTATCTCTGAAGTCCCAGCCTGGATCGTTATAGGAACCCAGAAAACATGGCCTGAGCCTTGAGGGCAGCTGAGCAGGCTTTTGAGAACATCAGTGTCGCATAGGAAGGGCTGGAGCCGCAGGGGACATCGTCCTTTGGCTCACACAATGCCCTTTCTGTGCTGGGTTTGGAGCCGCTTTGAAGCGTGATGGCAACAGCAGGCATGTGGGAGGGTTTTTCAGCTCCACGGAAGATCAGTGCCGGTCCTGGATGGACGCACTGGAGGATAAAGTCGTGAATTCGAGAGCTGAAGGGTGCAGCGAGCAGCCGAGCAGAGCCCGGGTGATGCCTGGGGAGGGTGATTGCTCTGTGGTGAGGTTCTCATCTGGTTTCTGTTCCGTGATCGAATCTGAAGCTGTTTGTGCCGCGGGTCCGCAGCCGCGGCCTAGGGCAGCACGAGCAGAGCCTGACGCCCCGGGGCAGGGCTGGGGGGTGCCCAGGCTGCTGACAGCATTGGGGTGGGCTGCAGCAGGGCTGGGGTGCCCCAGCTGCCGTTCCCCCTCGCAGCAGGGAGGCCGCGCTCTGCTCATGTCCCCCTTTGGCTTTGTTAGCTCATCCTCCCCGCGTGGAGAGCGGCTTCCGTGGCCTTGCTTATCTGCTCTGCCCCGTGCAGACCGGTGCTCGCGCAGAATGGCCCGGGTTTCCTGCACCGGCTGCCCTGGCCACACGTGAGTGCCCTTTTGTTGGTGTGAAGGTCTGAACACTTCTGCTGGCACTGGAGTGGCCTCTCCGGCTCTGGGGTGCACCCAGGGAGGGCACTGGCCCTTGGCTCCTGTCCTGCAGGATGAGCTGGTTCAGATGGGGTGAGCTGGTTCAGGCTGGGATGAGCTGGTTCAGGATGGGATGAGCTGGTTCAGGATGGGATGAGCTGGTTAGGATGGGGTGAGCTGGTTCAGGATGGGATGAGCTGGTTCAGGATGGGATGAACTGGTTGAGGATGGGATGAGCTGGTTCAGGATGGGGTGAGCTGGTTCAGGATGGGATGAGCTCGTTTAGGATGGGATGAGCTGAGCTGGTTCAGGATGGGGTGAGCTGGTTCAGGATGGGATGAGCTGGTTCAGGATGGGATGAGCTGGTTAGGATGGGGTGAGCTGGTTCAGATGGGGTGAGCTGGTTCAGGATGGGATGAGCTGGTTCAGGATGGGATGAGCTGGTTCAGATGGGATGAGCTGGTTCAGATGGGATGAGCTGGTTCAGATGGGTGGGGTGAGCTGGTTCAGGATGGGATGAGCTGGTTAGGATGGGATGAGCTGGTTAGGATGGGATGAGCTGGTTAGGATGGGATGAGCTGGTTAGGATGGGATGAGCTGGTTCAGATGGGATGAGCTGGTTCAGATGGGGTGAGCTGGTTCAGGATGGGATGAGCTGGTTAGGATGGGGTGAGCTGGTTCAGGATGGGATGAGCTGAGCTGGTTCAGGATGGGGTGAGCTGGTTCAGGATGGGATGAGCTGGTTCAGGATGGGGTGAGCTGGTTCAGGATGGGATGAGCTGGTTCAGGATAGGTGAGCTGGTTCAGGATGGGATGAGCTGGTTAGGATGGGGTGAGCTGGTTCAGATGGGGTGAGATGGTTCAGGATGGGATGAGCTGGTTCAGGATGGGATGAGCTGGTTCAGGATGGGGTGAGCTGGTTCAGGATGGGGTGAGATGGTTCAGGATGGGGTGAGCTGGTTCAGGATGGGGTGAGCTGGTTCAGGATGGGATGAGCTGGTTCAGGATGGGATGAGCTGGTTCAGGATGGGATGAGCTGGTTCAGGATGGGGTGAGATGGTTAGGATGGGATGAGCTGGTTAGGATGGGATGAGCTGGTTCAGGATGGGGTGAGATGGTTCAGGATGGGATGAGCTGGTTCAGGATGGGATGAGCTGGTTCAGGATGGGATGAGCTGGTTCAGGATGGGGTGAGCTGGTTCAGGATGGGGTGAGCTGGTTCAGGATGGGATGAGCTGGTTAGGATGGGATGAGCTGGTTCAGGATGGGATGAACTGGTTAGGGTGGGATGAGCTGGTTAGGATGGGATGAGCTGGTTCAGGATGGGGTGAGCTGGTTCAGGATGGGATGAGCTGGTTCAGGATGGGATGAGCTGGTTAGGATGGGATGAGCTGGTTAGGGTGGGATGAGCTGGTTAGGATGGGATGAGCTGGTTCAGGATGGGGTGAGCTGGTTCAGGATGGGATGAGCTGGTTCAGGATGGGATGAGCTGGTTCAGGATGGGATGAGCTGGTTGAGGATGGGATGAGCTGGTTCAGATGGGGTGAGCTGGTTCAGGATGGGATGAGCTGGTTCAGGATGGGGTGAGCTGGTTCAGATGGGATGAGCTGAGCTGGTTCAGGATGGGGTGAGCTGGTTCAGGATGGGATGAGCTGGTTCAGGATGGGATGAGCTGGTTCAGGATGGGGTGAGCTGGTTCAGGATGGGATGAGCTGGTTGAGGATGGGATGAGCTGGTTGAGGATGGGATGAGCTGGTTCAGGATGGGATGAGCTGGTTAGGATGGGACGAGCTGGTTCAGGATGGGATGAGCTGGTTCAGGATGGGGTGAGCTGGTTCAGGATGGGATGAGCTGGTTCAGGATGGGATGAGCTGGTTCAGGATGGGGTGAGATGGTTCAGGATGGGATGAGCTGGTTCAGGATGGGGTGAGCTGGTTCAGATGGGATGAGCTGGTTCAGGATGGGATGAGCTGGTTCAGGATGGGATGAGCTGGTTCAGGATGGGGTGAGCTGGTTCAGGATGGGATGAGCTGGTTCAGGATGGGGTGAGCTGGTTCAGGATGGGGTGAGCTGGTTCAGGATGGGATGAGCTGGTTGAGGATGGGATGAGCTGGTTGAGGATGGGATGAGCTGGTTCAGGATGGGGTGAGCTGGTTCAGGATGGGATGAGCTGGTTCAGGATGGGATGAGCTGGTTCAGGATGGGGTGAGCTGGTTCAGGATGGGGTGAGCTGGTTGAGGATGGGATGAGCTGGTTGAGGATGGGATGAGCTGGTTCAGGATGGGATGAGCTGGTTCAGGATGGGATGAGCTGGTTCAGGATGGGATGAGCTGGTTCAGGATGGGATGAGCTGGTTCAGGATGGGATGAGCTGGTTCAGGATGGGGTGAGCTGGTTCAGGATGGGATGAGCTGGTTCAGGATGGGATGAGCTGGTTCAGGATGGGATGAGCTGTGCCCAGTGCCCGGCTCCCGTTGGCACCCGCTGAGGAGGTGACAAGAGGAAGCTCAGTGCGGTGTCCCCAGGCAGGACCGGGGCTGCCTTTGGGCTCCAGCACAACCAAGGCACCACTTGGCCGCATCCCCCGGTGAGCCAGGGCTGCTTCGTGCCCTGCGGCAGGCGGGGAGAGCCGGGCTGGCTCCTGGGGACCATGAGGGTGGCTCCTGGAGCCCTTCTCACCTGGGGATCCTGCCTCAGACCCGCTGCGGGCTCTCGCACCCTGGGAGCCCGATGCAGCACACACGAGGCACGGCCAAGAGCCGGGTCCCCCCTCGCCTGCTGGGCTCCGTCCGCCCGCCCGCCCCTCCTCACGCGCCTCCTCCCTTCCCTAGGTGTTCCTGCACAGGTACAGGAGCAAAGAGGAGGAAGCTGCAGGTCGCTTGGACAAGAAATCCTTCTCCAAAGGCCTGCTTCCCAGCCAGAAGCTGCCTTACCAGAACGGGCACGCCGGGAGCCTCTTCTCCTCCTCCTCCTCCTCCTCCTCCTCCTCCTGCCCGGCTGCCGGCTCGGCCCTGTGCGTCAGCTCCTCCTGCGACGTCTCCCTCAGGATGATGGTGGGAGAAGCGGACTCGGTGGCCCCCGGCCGAGGGATCTGCCTGGACCTGGCTATCCTGGACAGTGCCTTCCTCCTCTCTCAGGTCGTCCCCTCCCTCCTCATGGGCTCCATCGTCCAGTTTACACAGTCGGTGACGGCCTACATGGCCTCAGCGGCTGCTTTCGGCCTCGTAGCCATTTACTTTGCGACCAAAGTTGTCTTTGACAAGAGCGACGTGGCCAGGTACGCGGTGTGATGGAAGGCGCGCGCGTGCTCACGAGGCCAGTGGTGCCAAGCCCCGCGTGGCTCCTGCTCTCCCCACGCTGCTGCTGTAGCCCAGGGGTAGTTCAGGGGCTGAGGGCAGGGGAGATGCAGCAGCGCTAATCTCAGGTGTAAATAGGAGGCACTGGGGCCTTGTGCTTTGGGCCATCAGCGCTCTCCAAAGGTGCCTTCATCGAAAGACAGCACTGCACAGCCAGCACCAAAGGGGTTGGGGGGGGGGGAGAAAGGAAATGGATTTTTCCTTTAATAATGGGTCATTTTCTAATGGAGAGGGGAGGGAAGGAATCTTCCGCTCTCCTGTTCTCCGGTTGGAGCTGTACCCTCCTGCCCAGCTTCTTGCAGTTCTACTCAACCTCTTGAGCAATACTTCTGCAAATAGGACACTGGGAGGAGATTTCCTTGGGCAAAAACGTAGGATGGGTGGCTAAGGTATGGCCATGTGTACGCACACGCTTCCATCCCACCTCTGCTCTGCTCTGCCTGCGAGAAACCATCAGGAGAAAAGTGACTGTCTTGTTTCAGAAAAACAAGGTAAAGTTTCATTAGGAGCGGTTCCAAAAGGTGACTTATCTTTTACCTATGTACCAGCTGGCAGCAGAGGGAAAGGGCCTCTTCGTTTCTTTGCTTTAATGGTTCTGTTTAGCTTTCCTCAGTCACTCTGCCCTCAGTGCTCACAGCTCCTGCCTGCTCTCCCTTAACAGATCTGGACCTGGCCCCTCAAGGATGCTGCCCTGGAGGGTTTCCAGCCCTGGGACAGTGAGAGGGGGCAGGAAGAGCTCTGCTGAGGGAGCTGCAGGGGTTTTCTGCTGTCAGACAGTTGCGTTTGGCAGCAGTCACTGCTGCAGCAGGTCCCCAGCACAGTGGCTCAGCCACTCAGAGACCACCCATACCCCAACAGGAGTCAAGGGCCCGGCCCATAGGCAGCACTTGGACTTTGAAATGATCCCAACTCAGCTCACAATCACCAAGTGGTTTGTGCTGAAGGGACCTTAAAGCTCCTCCAGCTCCAGCCCCTGCCACGGGCAGGGACCCCTTCCACTGGAGCAGCTTGCTCCAAGCCCCTGTGTCCAACCTGGCCTTGAGCACTGCCAGGGATGGGGCAGCCACAGCTTCTCTGGGCACCCTGTGCCAGCGCCTCAGCACCCTCACAGGGAAGAGCTTCTGCCTAAGAGCTCAGCTCAGCCTCCCCTGGGCAGGTTAAAGCCATTCCCAAGGCTCCCTTCATGCCCTTGTCACAAGTCCCTCTGCAGCAGAGGAAAAGCATCCCCTGGTCTGTTGGAGGCTGTGAGCGTGCAGAGGAAGCTCGACAGCCCTTAACTGCTGTAGACCTTTGGCTGCTCCAAACCCCGTGTCTGTGACTGCTGTTGTGTGGGCAGCGAGGGGCACTTGTGAGGTCCTGCTGAAGGGCAAAGTGTTGCTATATTTGCCTTCCTCCCTGGCGTGGAAGCAGAGCTACTCCCTTGCTGTCTGCAGATGGTCCTGCCAGGGCTTCTCCCAGGCTTTTTAAGCACTTCTTTCCCGTAAAGGGTCACTGGTTTGGGTTTATTTCTTCTCTAATTATATGCCTCCCTTCCCCACAACAAGGTCTGTGTGCTGAACTGCAGCTCTTGGGGATGGCTTTGGCAGCTGCTTAACCACCTACAGAAAGAGTGTTTTGTCTGTCCTTCCTCCCCTGGTCACCGGCCACTGCAGGAATAAGTCTTTAAGGCAAAATGCTAATGCCAAAGGTGGGCTGGACAAATGCTCCTGGTGATCAGAGACCTCAGAGGGAGGAGTTTCCCAGCAGGTCCCTACCTGAGTGCTGCACATTGTGTAAAACTGGGGAACAGAGCACATGGAGGCTGCTACGATGCTAAAGAGCTTTTTGAGCCATTTGTTTAAGTGCCTAAAATCTTCCACCCCAAGCTACAGGTGCATGGGTTTGATGATAAAGGCCTTGGGTGTTTCATTACAGATCCCTAAGTGATAAAGCAGCAGCTCCAAAGTGTCTATTGAGAGACTTAGGTTTGTCCTTCCTGGTTTCTGCTGAGGACACGTGTATCACACAGGGACCAGCTGGGGACTTGGGCATGTCCTAGTGCAGGTGAGCACATCCCTTGTGTGCTGTTACTGATGGAACCTCTCTGGGGTTTGATCCTGCTCCACCACTTGTGGGTATAGGTACAAGCTCCTCATGAGCTTCTCATTTCAGGTAGTAGGTGCACCAGGTTGCCCAGAGAGGTGGTTGAATGCACTTGAGATACTGGAGGCCAGGCTGGATGTAGTTCTGGGCAACTGATGCAGTCAAAGATGCTCCTGCTCATTGCAGGCGGTTGGAACTGGCTGAGCTTTGAAGGCCCCTTCCAACCCAGACTGTTCTGTGAGTCTGTGATTCTGCTTTCTTCTCCCAGTGAATCACGCAGTGCCTCTCCTTGTGCGAGACGTGGGTTGTGATTGTTTGCTGGGGAGCAGGAGGAAGGATGGAGGGTGCCGTTTGAACGCAAGGCTGTTGTGAGTGCCTGCCTTGGGGAGGGACGTGTGCATGGATGTGGGGGTTTTGTGCGGGATCACCGCCTGTCTGTCGCGTTTTATTTATTCGGTAGAGGAAATATTTTGTCTCCAGTGCGGGAGGAGCCGGGATGGCCGGGATTTGTATGGGAAAAGGCATTAAAAGGTCTTTAAATGGGAATTGGCTCCCCTATGGGTCTGTGATTGTGTGTGTGTGTGCGTGTGTGCGCCGCTGGGTGGCGCCACCACCGCGGCGGAGAGGGGCGTGCTCTAGGGTTCACGGGGGGGGGGGGGGGCGTGGCCTCGGCGCTGGCCCCGCCCCTCCGGCAGCCGCGGCTTCGGTCCCGGCTCCGGTTCCGATGCGGGAGCGGAGCCTCCCGGTGTCCCCGCGTGGGGCTCTGCCCCGAGCATCCCGCCCGAGGGAGGGGGGACCCCAGGAGCCCCCCGAGCCGAGGCTCTCCCGTCCCTGCCGGCGCTCACGGGCTGAAGCTGGGACCCGGGGTGAGTGGCGGCGAGCGCGGAGAGCTGCGGGCTGCGCTTCCCCAGCAGCATCCACCCGCATTGCTGCGGCCGGGGCTGTTTGTCAGCCGTGAGGCCTGGCTCTGCTCTGGGAGGCTGCGTTCAGGCTCTTGCAGAGCAGAGGAATTCTGCGCCTGCTGCCCGGGGTGAAGCACAGAAAATCCCTTTTCCCACGGGGCTGCAAAATGGGGCTCTTGACAGAACCTGGCCTCAAATCGCTGCCACCACCAACCCCTAGAGGTGGCTTGAGCACGACTCCTCCCGGGGATCGATGTGTTGGGCAGAACACCGTCACCTCTGCCGCTCACGCTTGGTTTCCCGTCGCGGGGTGCGAGGCTCCCCTGATGCCATAAGGAACACCGGAGAGGAAAGCTGCTGGGGACTGCTCCCAGGCAGCCTGCGGGTCTGCTCCTCTGCAGCTCCATGGGGCCCGAGGCCTTCCTCGAGCACAGCCTCCAAGGAATCCCTTGGGGAGCTACAGGTTGCCTGCAGAGCCCCAGTGAGGACAGGAGACCTCACACAGCTCCTATTGCAGCAGCATTGCACACTGTGGCCCTGCCAGAAGCATTCCTCCCACGATGGAAGCCTGTATCCAAAGGGATGCCAGCAAATGGAAGCCTGTATCCAAAGGGATGCCGGCAAATGGAAGCCTGTATCCAAAGGGATGCCAGCGGCAGCCATCACCTCTGCTACCTTTGAGGATTCAAGTTGCTTTAGTCCTGAACTCCAGAATTCCCTTTCCCAGCGCTCAGGACCCTGCGGAGCACTGCTGACAGGGACTGCCTTGACTGGTTTGCAGGAACCTCATGGACTCAGTCACTCTGGAAGAGGTTCACAAGGAACTTCGGGGTTCTCCTTCACTTGGAAACTCCCTTTCTGCATTAAACGTTAAAAGATGCTTCCCCCTGGGGTGGTTCAGGTGCTGCAGGAGCAGGATGCGGCCTCCACGCTGTGTCTGGAAGGGCAGGGATGGTTTGTGGGTGCTCGGGCACCGCGCTCACATCCCTGTGAGCCGCAGCAGTGCCTGGGGGGTTCCATGTGTGGGACCAGGCACCTTCAGGAGACCACACAGGGGATGCTGGGCTTGGGAACCTGGTGTCTGTGTCCTCGAGGGCCCCGTGAGCTGACCCCACACGCTCTGTGTGCGATGCTCTCTGGAGGTGTGACTGCCTGGGCTGGCTTTAAACCCACTTGTTGAGGCACCGGTAGCCATTGTAACCACAGCGTGGTCACTGGAGAGCCCTCAGCACAGCCCCGGGCAGGCTGTCTCTGAGCTGTCCTGTTCCCTGTTCCCAAAGCAGCTTCAACGCAGCCATGAATGCTCTGTACCAGGGTTGCACTGTGACAAAGCCAGCACCCTCCCTTGGGTCTCAGTTTACTCCTAGTTGTAAGCCACATGTGCCATAGCAGCAATAGCTGCCCTGTGGCGTAGGTGGAAGAGGGCTGAAGAGTTTAATTGTGTATTTTGTCCTTCATAAAGTCCCCAGAGATGTTTGCTGCTGGGGGGGATCCAGCTCCTTGCAGCCCACTGGCGTCCTGCAGGGGAGAGCGGTCCCCGCACCGTGTTTGAGCAACAGGCTCCCAACTGCCTGGTTCTTCATCTGGAATATTCGGGGATGCTCACTGAACCCTGCAGTGGTTGGGGTTGAAGGGACCTTAGAGCTCCCACCCCTGCCACGGGCAGGGACACCTTCCACTAGAGCAGCTTGCTCCGAGCGCCAGGGATGGGGCACCCTGCGCACGCATTCAGCTCCCTCAATGGTGCGCGGTGCAAGGGGCAGGAGGCGCAGCAGCAGCTCCAGCAGAGTCCTTTCTGACTTGGAAGAAAGCAATTCCCGAGCTTCAGCAGCCGCCCGGGAGGGTGCCAGGGGCTGGCACAGCCAAGGGGGGAGCGCCCGCAGCCGGGCCGGGCACTGAGAGCCCTCCCCGCACCTCAAGCTGGGGTTTGGCACCCGCGGGCTCTTTGCA